GAGCAGTACGACGTAGTGCTGAGCAGTACGACGTAGTGCTGAGCAGTGCGACGTAGTGCTGAACAGTACGACGGAGTGCTGAGTAGTGCGTCGTACACTCTAAAAAACAAGGTATTCTTGGAAACCGGTGGCAAAATGTTTCCGAGTGTGTCACTATAGGAAACCCTTTAAGGATTTTCGAGAGCATAAAAATGGGTTTCCGAGCCCTCGAAACCTTTTTTCCGCCGGTTTCCGAGAATACCTTGTTCTTTTTGAGTGTACGACGTAATACTCAGCACTACGTCATACTGCTCAGCACTACGTCGTACTGCTCAGCACTACGTCGTACTGCTCAGCACTACGAAATGCGCTAACTATTCATTGAAGTTGGACTTTTTTTATGAATAGCAGTGAGATGAATTTTGTCCTGGACCGGATTTCCGGTGATATTTCGGCCCGGGCCGAAACGCCGCCGGACTTTGGGACCTGGCCGAAGTTCCGGGCCGAAAATTCCTTGGGCCGAAATTCTGTCCTCCCGTCCTCGAAGGTGAGAGTGACCCTGTTGGGTGTGGAGTGTAGGTGTGAGTGTGAGCGGTTTGGGTGAAACAATAACCACACTCTCAACCAACGTCCACCTCACTTCAACCTCATCTTCGTGCCGATTCAGCGGAGATAATGGAGTCCACAGAAGCTGCAGTTCGCGGAGCCCTAGGTTCGGTCCTGCGGGTCATTCACTGTCACTATTTCAGTCACCCACACCCCACATCCACACTTCACACCCAACAGGTCACCCTCACCTTCTAGGTACTTTTCACCCGATGACCCATCACCAAACACGTCATTCAATGGAGAATTCAATTCTGCAGATTACACAACCAGAATGATAAGTTACACAGGTCTATGAACGAATATTAGCAAGAAATACTCGAATCCGCTGCTAAGTTTTATTAAATCTAATCAAACATCTTCTAAGTAAGGTATTGTCTAAGATACAAGGTACAAAAATGTGAGACAATCTTGATTTACTGACAGCAAGTTCAGAAATAGTCTATACGGCAGAGATGTCCATGGCTGTCGAAAACTCACCCCCACCGCACTGTGATGATTTTTCAGAAACTGCACCGCGCCGCTATAGACATCTCTGCAGAGATGCACGATCCACGGGGTGCGATTCACCCGCCCGCGGGTCCCCGCGGGGACGGGCGGGCGAGACGGGCGAGGACCCGAAATTGCATGGGAGCCCCGTCGAATTTACTCCATGAGTTTAAATCTCATATAGGACGACCCGATGACGACACAGAGAACAGCGACGTGAACAACAAACTGGCAATGAGTGCACGTGCTCGGTGTGAAGCAGAATTTCGCGCACAGTTGAGTCCGGTAAGAGGCTCTACTTCAGGAAAATCTTTGGTAGATAGACTTGCACCAAAAGGTGCTGCTTGAAGTAGTGAGAAATAAAACTTTCTCGTTTCTGAAAAAAAGAAGAAGCTCAACGAGACATGACCAAATTAGCAAGAAAAATATTCTTCATTCCTGCTTCTTCACCTGGCGTGAAGAAAGCGTTTAGCCTAGCCTATTACATCATCTCGCAATGGAAAAACAGTCCTAGTCCTTCGACTAGGCAAGATATAATTTTCGTTATATCGACTACCAATCATTCGAAAACAAACCAAGGCCAAATTTCAATTTCTGCTGGAAGATTGACAGTTCATTCTTGCAAAAATTATCATTTTTTCCGTCGAAAATAATTTTCACAGGGCAGTCAGCGTGCGGGTCGGGCCCCAAGTAGAATTTGACTGGTTGGGCGGGAGAAGGAAAAAAGTTTTCGATCCATGGACGGACGGGAAAGAAAAAAAAATACGATACGGCCGGGCGGGAATTTTTTAGGAATAATAAAACGGGAACGGGCGTGACGGGTTTTCTAAAGCGATGGGATGAGACCCGAGGAGGTTGAAAAATTGATGCCCCGTGCATCTCTGCATCTCTGCTATACGGTGTAGAGTTCAACAGTCAATCTGAGTTTGAGGTCAATTTTGAGATTGAGCTTTGCAGAAAGAACTGAAAGGATAAGATTTCCATTTGTAGTTCTGGTCAAATAAGTATTTAATCATATCCTGTAAATCGGGAAAATTGCTCGTTAATCGCCTAGTTTTTACCCTGCTTGAGTATACGTAACTAGTTTGGATAAAGTTGCGCAGATCAAGATTGAGAATGGTAGATGGAACAAGTTCTTCAATATGAATTTCACAATGCTAAATTCGAAGAAAATGCTGAAAAGACATAAAAATCGAAGGTAGTAAGAGTTGTGTACATAAAATAGGCAATTTGTCTGGATTTTACCGGCAGAGGCACTCGATATCAGAATCTGACAGAACTGTTGATGATTGTTGCTGAAGGCCTAAGATCTTGGGACAAGATAGTCGACTCGGACACCCATTCATCTAGTGAACAGAGTAGGCCAATCTCCGTGTGAATGGCGTTTCGATTATGTTCTCCTATTACAAATAAGTGGATCACTTCAGCGAGGCATGATGAGAGCGAAGAGTAGGAATGAGCATAACGATTTACGAAAGAAGAAGCATGTTCACCGCCACTCGTCATCATCAAGTCTTGAACTCTGTTGTAGATATACTGATTGTGTTGAAATTCGTCTATTGTAAGAAAAATGGCAACAAAACCTTCCACAACTTCGGATCGTTCGATTGGTACAATGTGTAATCAGATTAAGCAGAGATTGACGCAAATATATGAGAAACAAGTATCCGATACAAGGTCTGTCGAAGGAATCATCGATCAGCTTGTCAGCGAAGTTCGACAACTACCACCAGAGAATGTCACTGACATTCTTCGTAACATTTTCTATCCATTTGGTACCTACGCACTTGATCATGGATCACACGTAAGAATACTTGTATTGTCGATTTGAACATGCCTCTTCTGTTACTTTCTGTGCAGACTTTTGCCCTGAAAATGGTCAAATTAATGTATTGGTGGTTTACCAAGAAGCCGAATAATATACCTGGCAAAGCTCTGTTAGAACTCGTGCTAGAAAGGCGTATCATCATTGTTCATGTACAACCGGACGGAACAAAAAAGGCTGTGTAAGTATCTAAAGATGATTCACGTTGCATTGAATGATCACTGACCAAGCGATGGTTAGTCATATATCTGAATAAATCATCTTCATTTCCTTTAGTCGCGGAGATGACCAGAAAAAAGAGCTGACCCTTCAACATCTTATCCGCTTATTCAAGATAAAGATGTGTACTGGTAAAGAGATGGATACTTTAATTACACTGCTCAAAGCATGCATCGACTACAACGAGGATAATGCTCGAAATATGGACTCGTATTTGATTGAAGTGAATTATTTTGATGCTATATGGCAACTCTATTTCAACTCACTGACGATTCACAATATCAGTTGCGACAATGAAAAGACAAGAAAAGATGCGATTGGGAAGACCAAATATGTCGCACAGCAGCCACTGACCGTATTATGGAGCGATGGTCGAGAAGATCATTTTCCTGATGGAATTATTACACCACGTGTGCGTGTGGACGAAATCGTACATCGAGCACTGAATGCATGTAAAGATTCAGAACAACATAAACTATTGCTTCACAAGATACAATCGAACTCGTTCCATACAACATACGTTTTCACTGCTTGGCTGCGTTTGTTCGACGAAATACAGAAGCAAGGCTATCTCGATAAATTCCTCTGTGAGATTCTTTTTGACAAGTTAAAACATATCCGCATTTCCACTCTTCTCGTGGAATATAGAGAATTCATCATAAATCTATGTGATCGTTGGTTGCTATTAGCAGATAAGCTATTGAAAGAAAATTTGAACGCTGTCGACGATCATGACATGGATATCCCAGAAAAGGAATTACACGGCGTCATTGGTGATCATCTTGTTCAGATGATTGAACAGTTACTTCATCACCAAACACCTGCTTCAATTACGATAAACGAGGAACTGATCGAACGCATCTGTGAAAGAACACCGGTGAACAATTTAAAAGGTCATGTCTGTTTCTTTTTCCTCCTCGAAGCGCTGTTGCCAAAATACTATGAAGTCGGAATGACCAAGGCGATTGAAAAAATATCAGGCGGCGTTACGCTTTGGTATTTTGATCATGTTATGGACATGGAAACTAATGAAAAGACTAGGCATCGTGTTGCGCTTCGGACTATCTTGAAGTACGTTAGCATGTTCACAGTTTACAACTGTTTATCGCATATCATCGAACGCTCTATTCGCGATCTATCCGAAGCATTTCCCTATCAATTGATTGAAGTTGCATTATGTCATACTACTACACTGCCGATGTACACGAAGAATGCTACAGAAAAAGACATCGAAAACTTCGTCATTTTCATTCAATCTGATTTTGCGAAAGACTTCATTAGTTCTCTTTTGCTTATCAGTGAATCGTTAGCGAGCTCGGAACGAACGCGACAGTATCTTTTCATATCAGATCAGATTCCTGTCATTGTTCAAACTTGGTTGGTGTTGGTAAGCGATGGAGCAACAAGATATCGTTTGATCCATTTCCTTCTAAGTATTGGTTCATTAGCAAATACTCAACATTCTCTGGCTATTGCTCAGTTTTTCCTAGCATCGTACGCAGAGACGCTTGTTTCTACTGATTTTGATGGCAAGAGCCCGTTTACGACCGTTCTTCTCTTCGTTAACTCATTATCTGAGCAGACGAACATGACAGGCGAATCATTGCTCGCATTGCTATTTCATTCAATCGAAACTGCACAGGACAACGACCAATTGATTATTTATTCGTGGCATCTGATCAATTTGAGTAAAGAAATTGTTCGTGACTCGTCACGAACGACACTCACTAAACTGGTTTCACCATTTCTTCCGCATTTAATTGGTCTGTTAGGAAGCATCAGTCCGATGAAAAAAGCTGCCACTGTTCTTCTTCGAGAACTTCTTGATTTATTAGCCACTGAACGAGCCATTCTAGATGAACTTCTTAAAGATTCGTCGACTGCAAACGATACTGCCGAAACATTGTCGAAGCGAAATACTCTCGACAACCAACAATTATTATTCTTTAGAAGTGAACATTCAAAGAAAGTCAACATTCCTGTGGTCGGTTATCGTGATTTTGATAATCGCGATGCACTGTTGAATACTCTGAAAACCGCTGAAACAACTCAAATGGATGCAATTCTTCGATCGCATGTTTCACTCAAAGATATTCACTTACAGACGAATTCCTCGAATGAGATTGAAGCTGAAAGATTAGTTTTGACAAATACTGCTCTGGAAAATGTTTCTAAAATTCTCGAAGTGCTTGGCAATCCTATTCCGACTCTCTTAGAAGGTAGCACAGGCGTTGGAAAAAGTGCCAGTATTATCGAAGCTGCAAAGCAGTGTAATCGACGACTTCTCCGTTTAAATATGTCATCACGTATAACAATCGACGATCTTCTGGGCAAAGTGAAATTGATTGCCAATGAAAAAAACCCATTCGAATTCGAGAAAGGACAATTTACACAAGCATTTGAAAATGGTTATTGGATTCTTCTCGATGAACTGAATTTAGCTCAAGATACAGTACTACAAGCCATAGAGTCAGCATTAGACACGCGCCGTTTGATTCTTCGTGATTCAAGTTCGGCTGAACAAGCGATTCTTATTCTATCGATGCATGAAAATTTTCGATTATTCGCCACGCAAAATCCGAGTAGTGGCTTTTTCAAAGGAAAACGAGAAAAGTTATCCGCATCCTTTTTGAGCCGCTTTCGACCTATTACCTTTAAAGAGCTGCCTGAGCATGAATGGTGTGAAATAGTCAGAAATCGATTGAAGAAATATATTCCTGACGAAGCCGAAGCCTATGCAGAACTGATGGTAAACCGATTTCACATGAAATTACGAGAAGAATATAATCGTCCGGACAAAGCTTCGTTAGAAATAGGCCCTTACACAGAGATCACTATTCGTGAATTGCTCAAATGGGTCGATATTTTCATTTGGCAAAAAAACAACAGCTCCTGGCCATCCGATGCAAGCGAACGATCTGCTCTGCTTAGCTTCAGCGCTTGGTGTATATATGGTGCTCGATGTCGTGAATCAGGCAGAACCCTAATAGAACGTCTGTTGACCGACAAAAGTAAATGTGGATGGGGTTTTCGAAGTTTGACAGAAATTCAAATAACAACAAATCCAAAGGAAAATCGGCTCATGTTTGATGATGTATCCTGTTCCATTCCAGCAAATATTCGAATTTTTAATCCACAAAAAGAATGGCAACGTATTGTAGATTCTCAGGATCTAGACTGTCCATCTTCTTTTAATCAATTGGCATGGGATTCTGCCATCCATGTTCACACGAAAATTCATCAATCACTATTCGATCGAGAATTCATTCTAGCACATGGCATTTATCGTGTTAACGTTACATGGCTATGGGAATGGCTTAAATCAGCTGTTCGTACTCAGTGTCTCGCTCACGAAAAGGAGTTTGCTGTATATGGTTGTCGCATGTATCAGAGTCGATTTCGTCATGAGAAAGCAAGAGGAATCATTCGTCAGTGTTTTAAAGAGGTATTTCCACGTATTGATTTCACCACTATTACAGTCGAGCCACTTTCTATTCTTCCCGAAATTCCTTATGTATTAACAAATCGTGTCATTGCTACCCTGAAACAGGTATGTTTCAATCAACGCACCAGACAACCAATTCTTCTTACTGGTACTGAAGGTTGTGGTAAATCAGAATTGTTGCTGATGTTAGCTTGGCTTTGTGATCAATCGATCGAACAATTGAATATCACTCCTGAAACAGAACCTTCTGCTCTGATTGGGCAAATCATTCCAAATGATAGAGAAAATGCCAATGATCCTAGAGATCCAAATAATGGAAAAAAATTAATCTGGGAACATGGTTGTGTGAGCAGAGCCTTTATCGACGGTCATTGGGTTCTACTAGACAATCTAAACGTTGCTGAGTCTTCTGTGCTTGAACGACTGAATCCAATTCTTGAACAGATCCCAGATCTAACCTTAGCAGAAAATTGTGAAACGGATCGTCGACCTATGCATGAAAATTATCAACTCGTTGCAACAATGACGCCACCAAACTCTCGACTACAATCTTCTCAAGCTACTTCGAATGAATTATCACCTGCACTGTACAATCGCTTTGCGGTGGTGCATATGCCAGATATTTCGTTTCAATTGAATGATCAATCATCAGAATTATTGGAGTTCATTAAAATCCTTCTCTCTGATGAACCCGAAACGGATCATGCCTTAACTGTGCGATTCTGCGGAATGATCTTACAATGCTACAAAGAAAATCCAAAATGTTTTCCACAGCTAACATTAAGAAATTTTATTCGACTGTTTGACAGTGCTTATCGTTTTCGAATGAAATTTAATTCTGAATTGAATTTTCGTTCCAGTCTTTGGACAGCCTATCAAGTAACGATTGCCAACCAAATCAAAAATGAAACTATTCAGAAGCAACTGAGCGAAAATATTCAAAGCTTACTGACGAATGAACGAAAAGCGGGTCAACTTCGTCAACCGAACTTTCTTGAATGGATGAAGAAAAATGACAACTATGTATTGACACCGAGTCGGGAAGCCTATGCTAATGCCGTGCTAGGTGCTGTGGCTTGTAATATTCCTCTTCTACTCGAAGGTCCAGCTGCTGTTGGTAAAACAGCATTGATCGCAGATTTGTGTGAAAATCTCAAACCGCGAACCATCAATCCTTCTTCGGATGGGCCGATTAAGCTTGAAAGAGTAAACAATTCGGATACAACAACAGTACAAGATTATCTTGGCACCTATTTACCAATGAATGAATCATTTGTTTTTCAAAAAGGTACTTTGTTTCGTGCAATGGAGAATGGATGGTGGTTTCTAGCTGATGAATTCAATCTTGCTGATCCATCAGTTATGAGTATGCTTTTTCCTTTACTAGAAGGAAAAAATCAAATCGTCATTCCATCTACTGGCAAAGTGATCATTGCGAAAGAAGGTTTTCAATTTTTCGCTACTCAAAACGATGCTTCTTATGCCAATCGACACGCTTTACCTGTATCCTTGCGCAATCGTTTTCTTGAAGTTCAGTTCGATGAATTTCCAAAAGAAGAACTAGCCGAAATCATTGCTCGACGCAAAGATAAAAGCCATCAGGAACCAATCGAAATGAAACGGGAGACAAGTGTCTATTTAGCTAAATTTTATCACCAAGTGGTCGCAAGTCGTTTGCGGATTACTTTTCGTGAGTTGGTGAAATGGATTCATCGACATGCAATCTTCTCGCCAAAGAAGGAAATTTGGCCAATTATTGGTGCATCCTTATTAGGAGCAAAATATCCTCTCAAATCGCCGATTCGAGAAGAATTATTCAACCTTTTCAAAAGTGTCTGGTCCAATTCAACACCTTCGATTGAATCGACTGCTCAAATCAAACAAATTGGAGACGCTGTTCAGATATCGGAAGGAGCGTTAAATCATACAATTCCAAATATGAAATTAGATGGAAGTTGTGTCCTAACAGCACCAGAACCGTTTCAGCGCGCTCTAGTTCGGCTAGCATTTGCGGCCCAAGCACACGAGCCAGTACTTCTTGTAGGACCGACCTCATGTAAAACACTTCTCATCGAAACGTGGGCTCATCTGATTCAACGATCATCTGATCTCATCAAAGTTCATTTGACACAGGATACCGAAGCCGGTGATCTCATCGGTGAAATTCAACCATCTTCATTTCTGGATTTACTCAAACGTTTGCCGGCAATGATTGAACAAGTGTGCCGTCGATTCGAAATACTTTGTCAAGAAAAATACAACACGAACATATCAGATCATGACGAGATCTTTCTGGCTGAAATTCGTCAAAACGACATTCCCATTCTCACTCGATTCATAGAACAATTCGAATCGGCTTATTCTCAAGAACAAGAATTCCTTGCTCAAAAGGAGGAAAATCAAGCAAATTTGGATGCTATAGTGGCACAAACCTATGCACTGCACAGACAAGCAACTATCGATACTATAAAAATCCCCGATCAAGAAATCATCCTTGAATATCCTCGTGATGATCCTCAACTAACACCTCTTCCTACAGATTACGACGATGATGGTGTACCGGAATACGATAACGATTATCAGCCGACGGGTTATCTCTCATCGAACTTTCAGTCATCTTCGTCAAGCGATCGCATTTATCACCACACGATCTCGATTTCTGATCATGATGACGCGACATATGATCTGGATGATGACGGAATGTTTTTGTCAAATTCGGCAATGGAATCAACGATTTCAACGATGCAAACAACAACTTGTGAATTGAATGATGGAATGGACGAATCGACGGCTGTGACTGATTCCGCTGAAGCATACGAATTAAATGATGGTATGGACGACACAATCCAAGACTCAACAGACGGCTACCTACCAGATGATGGAATGGAAGAAAGTTCTACCAACGACACATCTGAAATGGCCGGTGAACATGTAGAGAGCGAAAATAATCTTGATAACGGACAGTCTCAACCGGCAACCACCAAGCACTATCAATCCAAACGAAAAATTCAATATCCTCAGGAACTACTTGATGTAATGATGAAAATTCTGAACGACTTTCAAATGAAATTTACACCAGATGATGAAGTTTGTGCGGACAAGACACTGCAAGATTATTACAGAAAATTGAAGAAAACGTGGCAAACTCTGACAGCCAATGATTTAAATCATACAAAACCCATCTTTATATTCAAAGACGGACCAGTGACGACGGCAGCTAAACGAGGATGTATTCTGGTTCTGGAAGATCTCGATTTGTCAAGTCAAGCAGTCATCGAACGATTGAATTCAATGCTTGAACCAAGTCCAACCTTTGCGCTCACTGAAGATATCACTTGTCAAACAGATCAAGGTCAATTAGATGTCGTCTTATCAAATCAGTTTCAAATCTTTGCCACTGTTCATCAGGATCAAATTCATCAAGTTCTCCGCTTGAGTCCAGCTACTCGGTCACGATTCACTGAAATTTATGTTAACGGGTATTCTGATGATGATCTAAGAAAATTAGCGGAAATTGAACTTGTTAAACTAGATACGAGTTTAGAATCAGTGAAATCCTTGATTAAAATGATGTTCTCATTGAGAGAAATAGTCGTAACAGACCCCGAATGGAAAATGAAGGTTGATATTCGATTGCTCTTCCGTTGGACGGATTTTATTCTTCATCATCCTTCGGCTATTTCAGTCGAACAACGGATGTTTCTTGGTGCACGCTTCTTTTATTTTGATCAACTACCGATGCTGCGACATATTTCTTTATTTGAACAATGGTTGAAAACGATGCCATCATCCACAAACACATACGAAGCATACAAACACATATTTGAACCACCCAATGATTCTCATGGAACAGCCAGTTTGAAAATACGGAATCTTGATGATCGAACAATTTATTTTCCATTCATACTGGGGAAAGATTACATTGGTCTTCGTTATACCGGTGTTATGTGTCGATACCAATTCGAAACAGAAGAAGATGAATCACAGAAACTAGAAGCATTGAAAAGTCGATTTCTATCAGTTCCAACAGCGACATTTCTCAATCAAATGGCACGAATCTTTGCTGCAACAGCATCTAAAACGCCGCTTCTTCTCGAAGGTCCACCAGGTATTGGAAAAACTCATGTTGTCAAGCAAGTTTGTGGGTTATTGAATAAAGAATATGAAAGAATCAATATGTCGGCCAATACCACATTGGACCAATTAATTGGTTGTATTATTCCTCGAGTTATCAATGGTGTTCGAACCTTTCAATGGCAGCAAGGACTTGTTCTTTCTGCTATTCGTGCTAAAAAATGGATTCTATTGGATGAACTCAATTTAGCATCACCAGAAGTTCTCGAGGGTTTGACACCTTTATTTTATCGCGGTGTTACACAATATATGATACCAAACAGTGGTGAACTAGTCGATATGAAAGACGTGCTGATCTTTGCCACAATGAATCCATCTACCATTTGTGGTGGTCGAACGAAACTTCCACGCTCCATCAGTAATCTCTTCACCATTGTTCAACTCGAAGAATATTCGACTGAAGAATTGCGTTTGATTCTCAATGGAGAATTTACCCGTGAACTTGCGCAAGGAAAAATAAACATGGACCATCTGGATGCAGTCTTCGCTATGCATATGTTTTTGAAAAAAATGGTGGATGACGGACAATTGGGTCGAGTTGGTGGGCCGTACGAATTAAATCTACGTGATTTGGCCAAATTTCACGATGTTTTTCAACATTCCATTGATAGTCAAATATCTCATTATCGTTATTTCAACGTTACCGATGATTCAACGGAGACGAAGTCTGATCAGAAAGCAGCTGCTTTCGGTAATAATCATAGCATTCCAAGTCAATCAATGATTGATGATTCTGATCCTCGAATTTTACCCATTCGTAAATTTGCTCAAGTTGTTTATGCTTGTCAATTTCAAGGTGAAGAAGATTTTCATCAAGTCTGCAACATCATTAAGAATCAGTTTCCCATCAATAAAACGTTGGAAAAACGTGAAGACGATTCAACGATTGATGATACGGTTGCTTCCATCGTTCGTATTGGATCGGTTTACATCAACAAAGGTTCGCTGCTTTCATCAAATAACGACATTGAATTGATTCATACAAAGAAAACCATTCGTCAACTAGAATTATTAGCCAGTGCATGCCAATCGAAACGAGCGATCTTGTTAGAAGGAGGAATCTGTTCAAGAAAGAGCACATTAGTGATGGAATTGGCGCGTTTAACTCGTAATCGTCTGTTAATTCTTCCTCTCCATGAAAATTTTGAAACGGCTGATTTGATTGGATCGTGGTTACCGACAACAAAATTAGCTCGAGAAAATCCAATTTTCGCTCGAATCGATCAAATGTACAAACAACTAACGAAATTTCTTTTACTACTGATCATGCCATCATTGCCTGAAGAGAACAAAACAAAATTTGTTGATTTCAAAAATATTCTGCAATGTCGAACATCAATCAAAGAAAAACAACGAATGGAATTGCTCGAAGAAGAAGTGAATGGATTGCAGAAAACGGTCGATCTTCTCGATCATATTTCTCAAATTGCAACCATCAGCAAAGAATTGAAACTTCATTTATTATCATTCATCACTCAATTATATTATTTTCAAGAGAAATTAGGCGAACTTCGAGGAAACATGTTGGGTAATCAAGAAAAAATCGCTTTTGAATTTGTTGAATCCGAATTTGTCCGAGCCATTCGAGAAGGTTGGTGGGTTCTATTAGATAATGTCAATAGTGCACCATCCGAAGTGATTGAACGATTGAATTCTTTAATGGAAGAAAACCCGATGTTAACTTTGTATGAAAATTCCGAAGGAAAAAAACTTGAGAGAGGCGCTGGAATTCATGAGAATTTTCGTTTATTTGCCACAGCTAATATCAATCGTGTCTATTCCAATCGATTATCTTCGGCTTTCCTCAATCGAGTCATTCGTATTTGGTTACCAATGATCGATGATGTTGATCTCAAACGAGATTTACGTGAAAGTGATCTTTACGAGTTAGTCTCTCAACAGCTGAGTCAAATTCCAGCCGGAAAACAATTAGCACATCTGCTCGTTTTAACACACATTACTGTGAAGACTGCCGTTCAAGAAAATCGATTGAAATATCCAACGGATTTCTCGATCACTTATCGTTTACTTGAACAATCTGTTCAAACCATGCTCTCCTTAATTGAACGTTCAATTCATCCAGTTGATGCTTGTTATTGGTCAATTCTACGTTCGTATTGTTCGTCGTTGGAAAATGATGAACAATATCGATCCTTTGTTCATCAATTACAACGAACAATCAAAGAAGTGAATCTCACTCAATCAACGACAATTTTTTCTTCACCATCCGATGAACTTGATCGACAAAAACCAATTTGGTATCAACAATCCCAAATGATTCGATCAGCGATGGTTCAATTCGAAGAATATTTTCTTGAATTCATCTTCACTGCTATTCATATTGTTCTTCAAGATCAAACATTTCTCAAAAATGCGGTTGATCTTCTCAAATTGTTCATCGATCATCTTCTCATTCCACTGCAACCCAATGATATCCTCTTAGTGCAAATCAAACAAAATCTTTTCAATCAAACACCAACATCAGAAGAATTCCCTCGAATTTTAACTGAACTTAGTCAGAAACACAATTTAACGATGCGATTCAATTTGAGCGAAGTGAAGAGTGTCACCTATTCGATCGATCAATTAATCAACGATCTAAAGACTTTATTTCGATCGATTTTCGAACAATTAAATGAAGATTTAGAAAAATTCATTGCAAATACATCTTTGAAAGATCATTCTGAACGATTAGACTTTCTTCGTCGTGTTACGTCAATCATTGAGACTTTCGAAAGATTCTTTAGTGATCCAATCTTTGTGAGTTTTGATAGTCAAACATCTCTATTTCAATTCAGTTCTCAATCACTTCAAATCATTCGACCCTTATTGAAATTGAAAAACAAATCTCGATCATTTGAATTATTTGAAGATGCGGCATTTCTTGATGTGAAAGAAAAATTTCGAAATCATCTCTATCAACATTTCGATGCCAGTCTGATTTGGTCATTTGAACGTGTTCAAAATGATCCCATTCGATCATCTCGAAAAGATCTTCGCCAACTCGTTTCATATATGGTCAAAGGTGATCGACCAAGAGCCATTGTCAGTCCTATCGAACATTATGCCACTATTTTGGAATGGATCAGTTTACAATGGACATTGGATGATTATTTACTCGATTCTGTTCGACATGTCTTACAACGCAATGTCACTTTATCTGTCGAATTCATTGAAGAGTGCGAATTAAAATCGTCGTGCATGGAATTAATTTATCAATTGAGTAAACTGTTGGTCGAAATGGTCAAAGGACTCCCCGCTGAATCAACTTCTGTGAACACAAAATTTCAGCAAGCCGAACTAAATTTGACAGCTAAAGAGAAAGAACTAGGAAAAAAACGAGAAGAACTAAAGAAATTCGAAGAACATCTCGCACGAAATGCAAAAATTCAAACGTCACAACCAAGACCTCGACCACCCATGATACGTGAAGCATCCGTTTTTCATCCGGACGGTCTTCATTCTCCTAGTGAACACGACGGACTAGGAGCTGCAGTCAATCAATTAGAACTAATGGTGAAAAGTGCCAAAGAAGAATTGAACCAACGTCAAATAGAACGTGAAAAAGTCATTGAGAGAGCGATTGCTGCCCGTCAAAAACTTGAAGAAGGACTGGAAAAACTGCTCAAAAGTGCAGCTTATCAATATATCCAACATCGATTCATCCAACCAAATAATAAACATTTTCAAATCTTTTTTCAAGCGTTGAGTCAAGCACGATTAAATCCTTCATTAGTCAATTCAGATCATCTCTTAGATTTTCGTGCTGTTTTAGGAACATCATTTGGACAACAATGGTTAGAAAATGCCCATCTCTTTGACACACCATTAACCTATTTTCTTTGTGGTTTTTATTTTCTTCCTGATTTTCCATCGAATCTGAATTTTCAAATTCTTTCCAATTGGAATCAATTCGAAGATCAAATCGATCTACGTCGTTGTTCATCGGATGTGTGGATCTTTCTTTGTCCAAACAAAGAAGATGGTCAATGTTGTCTGTTAAACATTGAAAATGACGTTCGATCTTGCGTTGTTCATTGTTGGACTTTAGAAGGTTCCTTAATCAATGATGAATTAGAGAAGATTCTCGAAAAATTGTTTTCAAAGACTTTCACTTATCGAATCGATCAACATCAATTACCTTCAGTTGACAATGTCACATTGGATCATAGTCTTCACAAATTTGCCTTAGCTTCTCTCGTTCATTTTCGACGATTTTTAGACGCATCGAATACGTGGACAACGGAAATTTCTCACCGAACCAAATTGATTTTCGATCAATTGAAAGATTTTCTCGATCGACATCAACTGCAACAACAACCATTAATCTTCTATTATCAACATATCAATCGATTTGTCGAAAAACTTCGATCATTGAGAACTAGCTCGACTTCCAACGATCCTTGGCAAAACAACATTGAACAGATGTGGACACTTTTGAAAGAATATGAACCGCGATTTTCTAGTGCAGAAGCACAAAATATCGAAGAACAATTGAAATGTAGTCTGGAATCGGTTAAACCAGAAGATCTCAAGTCTCAATTGATTTTATTAGGAGAATTAGAAACGATGAAAACATTTAGTTGTATTGCAACGATTAAGAGATACATTTCGGCAGGAATGAAACAAATATCAGAGAATTGTGTTCAACAATTTCAGTTGTTCTTCGATTTTATTCGAAAAATCGATCTTTTATTGAAATTAATCATTCAAAATCTTTTCCATTTTGCTGATCAATTTTCCAAAGAATTGTTCGAACACACACCAACAATGATTGCGTTTTTTGAAGAAATTTTTCGATCAACATTGAAGGTGATTGAGATCGAAAACGATCATTTACACATTCGTGTTCGACAAAAGAAAGAAACTTTTGAAAATTGGCAAAAACAACTCAATGATTATCTCAATCAAATGAATTTTCCTTCAATATTTTTAAAGAAATACCATTTAATGCAGCTCATCAGCAATCTTGCTGCGCTTTTTTCTGAAAACCCAGCAATCAATGCAACAAACCATATAAGAAGAACAAGTTCAGCAGGAAAGATTGATCTTCGAGAAGGTCGAAAACAAGTGCGTCAACATCAAGCTGATAAAATGATTAGTAATCTCAATGAACAATTATCACAGGCAAATCGAATGATTTTGCGACCCCATCATCTCATTGAACATCTTCATACTATTTTACAAAAATTACGAACATTTGATCCTGATGATGATAATGAAACAACATTGAAATGGCTTCAACGAGAAGAAACACGAATAATGACGAAATTGAAAGAATTCGAACAGGAAATCAAAGACTACACAACATTACAAATGAATTTGCCACAAGATGGAGAAATTCCATCGATTGATAAAGATCAATTAAGTCAGAAAGTTTCGTCTGAACAAACACTAGGACATCATTTGAAACATTTCGTTCAAAACATCAATAAATGTGAACAAGCAAGTCAATTGACTGATCTGAATCACATGATTCGTTTGACTCATGCTCAAGTATCCGATCAAACTTGGTTACACACGATCAATTTATTGGGAAAAGATCCGAAAAATGAGAAACTTTCTCAGTTTTTAATGTTTTTTCGAGATGATTTAGCGATGGAACTTCAAGACGATCCAACAAAAACGGATCAAATTATTTTAGCTTACAGTCAATTTCGTTGTGGTTTATTGATTGAAGAAGCTCGACAAAATATGTTGATCAATTACGAAACGATTGCCAATCTATTGAAATCGCTCAATGAATGGATGAAAAAGAGTCAATTGAATGTCTTTAATTTAATTGAAACCATCAAAAACATTGGTGATAATTTAAATCGATTGCGAAGTCAAATGAGAAATTTTCGGATCGATGCAATTTGTAATGTTTTACCGATTGACCTTCGACCAGAAGATATCTTTTCCCTTCTCATTCCTGAATATACATCCCATGTTCGACTATGTTCGGAAAAATTCGATCAAATTGGTCAAAAACTTTCTCAACGAGTCAATCAAGTCGAGTCGATTATTTTCCCTAGTAATGATCCCATGACCAAAGTACATTTTGGTTTAGCCAGTTTTCAGTATCGAGATGGTGATGATCCAACGAAAACTCAAGCGATCTTCGATGATCGAAAATGTATTCGTGACATTGCCAATGGACTAACACAAGTGATCACCGATCTTTTGAATATGTGTCTTGAAACATCGGTTGAACGGGGTGTTCTGATGCAAAGTGCATCCAGTATCAAAGAATTGTTTCCCATTCATTTGGCTTTAGCTTTGATTTTAATGATTTTCCTCGATCAAGCCACGAAAAACTTTGAAGATTTTTCTGAACATCTTAGTCGATTAGGAATCAATACACTGAAAAAAGAAGAAGAGGAATTGAAAAATTTGAAATATTTAATCAATGATCGTGAGAAAGAAATAGCCCAAATCAACACGGAACTTAATCGAGTGAAAGAAGAACAACGCAGCGCACAACGTGATTATGACAATGTTCAATATCGATATATGAAATCAACGAAAGAACAAATTTTGAATGAATGTGTTCAACGAAAACGAGGAATTGAAAACAAACAAAAAGCAAAAGAAAGCGAACTTTCAGAAGTCAAGGAGAATTTCGAGAAAAAAGAAACTCGTTACAAAGAACGTCGAGAACAAGAACAACAGCGATGGTTTGAAATTTTGCAGATTATCTTCCAAGATATGAACAAATCTGTTCAGAAATGTTTAGCACAATTTGTCACAGATCACAACGATTTGACTACAACATTAAAAGGCATCGTCAATTTATCTCGAGAACAATTGATCACAACAAATGAACTTTCCGTTGATCTCAATGTCTTAGAAACGATCAGAAATGGAATCGTTCAATTATTGAAAAAACTCGACGAACATGGAAAATCATTGACAGACAAAGATCCAATGCGATGTTTCATTCATTATTACATTGATGTGATGCATATTGCTCTTCAAAGTTTATCGCAATCCGTTTCGAATTGGAAAATCTTTTCCGAAAAATTACGATCCGATTCTATTCGAGTTTATGCAGAAAAAAATCACAAACCACTCATTCATCAATTGACCAATGCGACCTATGACGAATGTCGTCGTTTCTTAAATCAAGTTCGTTCAGGTTTTGATCAGAACGAAATTCTTAAACTTGCTCAACAGATCGGAAATGATGTTCATCAGAAAATCAAATCTTTAAACATTCTTTTTAGCGGAGAATTTAGTGAACAAATGGAAGATTTATTATTCGATTTTGAACGATTTATTGGCAATTTCTTAGTGATTGGATGTCGTTATTCTCAGTTTCAACGTGGAAATCGAGAGGCTCTACATGACATTTTGATCAACATGACCAATAATGAAATCGATCGAGATTTACCACGAAATGAAATCGATCTGTTAGAACTGTTAGAAATCTCTGATAGTCAAATGAAAAGTCATTGTCAATCGTTGTCATATCAAACTTTACATTTGGCCTTTTCTTTTAAGTCGAATCCATTCGGTCTTTTCGATCAACTCGATCGTTCAGTGAAAGCTTTTATTCAATTACTCGTACCGGCCGCTCATCTGATCAAACGAACTTGGTCGAGCATCGAAACATTGATCAATGCACTTCCTGCAATGATCACCATCGAAGAGAACGAAATTTTCTCTCAGATTTGCGAAGATTTTCTACAATTAACGGAACAGTCCAACGAAATTCATGATGAAAGCAGCATTTTGAAGAAATTGATTGAAAGAAAAAATCTCGAATCAATATCGAAACATCTCGAACAACTTCAACTAATTTTAGTTAAAAATCGACCGAGAACGGAGAAATTCCTCGGAAATTTGAACAAACGATGGCAATTGACGTTGAAAGAAGTTTGTCGAGGAATGATTCGAGCACGAAAGTTTGAATTAAAACACAATTTAGAATCGAATCAACGACAATTTAAAGTGTTTAGCGATTTTCTTTCTCCGAACAATACTCATCAAATCTTTCTACTAGCAGATATCGAACAAATTTTAGTTCAAAAAAATATTATTTTGAATAACAATATCAACGTCAATGAAAGATCCAATTATTGTTCTCGACTTCATTATCTGGAAATTCTTTATCAACTTATGAGTAATGGTGTAAATAATCTTGAAACAATATTAATGAAAATGCCTATTGAAACGATGGATCACTCAATCTTTTTCAAATTATTGCAAATGACTGGCGAGATTTGTGAGAAAGCGATTCACTTCTTGACAAAAGAATCTTTACAGAAGTTTATGGAGAAAGAAGAAATCGTTGAATCATCGTTTGATTTACTCAATCAAATTCATCGATTAGAAACGAATCTTTATCGACATTTCTTTCACTCGTGCCAACCGACTGTCAAACAAGCCATTCAAAATTTGTCTGCTATTCAAGATTTTCGTTCATTTAAGAGTTCAATTGAAGAAGGTCGACAACAATGGCTCGCAGCAGGAGAAAAATATTTTGATTCTCGTTTTGGACCGAAGAAAAAGGCTTTAACGTCATCGGCCGATGACTTTAACGCAAAGATTAAAAAAATTTCCGAAGACATTATCTCTTTGATGCATTTCCTGCAGGCAAATGTCTCTCAACTTTTCATATTCGTTCCAGAACAAGAATTCATCACAGAACTTTTACGACTTCATCGGACATATCAATGGCAACTTTCGTTGAAACCATTGAATATCGATCGTTTACAAGCAGAAAAATCAGTTTATCAGCTTTGTATAGAGCAATCACATAACAAACATGAACCAGACACACGGTTGCGACTGCGACATCCCAATAATGAACGCTCAGCAATCGATATTCCCTTAATTTTGCAGAAAGGATCGTATGAAATGAAGATGATCAAACTATCTGAACTGCAAGTGTGGATTCAAGTGGGAAACAATCCTGGATCGGAAATGAGTTTGGATGAATTAATCGATGAAGGGCGTGTTTATCGGTTTGAGAACAGTTTAGAAATGACCTGTAAAAAATTATCTGATCCACACTATATTGTTAAATCAGATGGTATGCAGACTGTGAAAAAGCCTGATAAATTACGACAGTCTCTGAAAGACCGTTTAAAACAGCTGGAAAAAGATCTCAAGAAACATGCCGATCGACGAAAAGAAGAAACTGTATTTCAATCATCCACAGGAAGTACAATGTTTCGAGAGTTAACCGATCAAATAGATAGAATCGTCTCATTGATCAATTATCCATCTGCTACCGACGAACTTACCACGAAAGACAAGATCAATAATGCTTTTGATCAGCTGCCAAAGGCTAAATATCTACAAAAAGCTCTGGATCTGATCGAACTTGTTCCAAATTCACCCCCGACAAACTTACGTGTGATTAACGATCAAGATCCAGTTCCGCAGAATTCGGGCGCAACCATATGGACAAAGTCGATGCAAAAGGCATTTCAGTCTGGTCGAACGACGTATAGCGAGATTGTCAATAGACTATACCTTGTCATCGATCGCTTGAGAGTAACTAAAGGAGAGCTTCTTTTATCTTATGTTTGGGCACATAGTATATCTACAGACAATGATGCTGGGGATGTTCAAAAAACCTTTTCAACGATGCGGAATGAATGTCACAATCTCTGCAAGTTACCGACTAGTGATACGGAAGAGAGTCGTCAGTGTCTTCAGCAAATAGAATTAAAGATGTTTGATGCAGAAAAATTGTTTGGAAGAATTAAACGTACATCGAGCCATTGGTCAGAAGTGGAACGTCTCCAGAAAATCCCCATTACAAAAATCGAGAACAATCTGATCGAGGCCTTTAGAAATTCGGCCATAGCTCGGGATGCTCATCTTTGGCTGACAAACAAAACCCAGTCCAATGAAAGATCAATTGAAGTCTCCTATCAGCCTCGGACAGTGATAGTCGATTTTGGCGGTGTTTTGAGTGGGACTCATCAACGACCAACAAAACAGATCTTTCTACATAATGAAACCAATCAAGATTTCAAAGTACGAATCGATCGTTACACGAAGGACGACTCTATCTTCGATGCATCCAATGAGATCGTTCATTTGGCATCGGGAGAGATTGGTGAAATGGAAGTTTTTCTTCAGCCATCGATGGATGACAACCGAATAGAAGAAGACTGGAATCTGATCATCGAAGATTTGTTTACGATTGAAAAAATCTTCCACATTCAGGCTCAAATCATCCAACCTCGTGTCGAATTATCAAGTAAAATCATTGATTTTGGTGCTGTACCTTGTCATGGTCACATTATCGAGAAAAGTATTACTTTGACGAATTTATCACCATGTTCGGTACGGATTAAGGCGCAATTACAAAATAAGGCAGATGGAACTAGCTTTGCGAATGTGAAAATTCTCAAAAATAAAATAAATATCGAAGCAAACGCTCAAGAATCGTTCATAGTAGCATTCGAACCCACATTAACTCCCGAGGATATTGAGGCATTAGTTTGTCTGGCCATTCAATCTCCCAACAATTGTAAATGGATTCAAGTTCGTGGTCAAGTTCGTGAAACACATCTGACTATTTCTTGTGAAAATCGTTGTCTTCTAAACAATGTTGACAAAGGTTGGGTAACGATCGATGATTTTTACAGAGGAGAAAAGCGAGAGATTGCCTTTGATTACCTGAACGCTGGCATTGTGCCATACACTCTTCGAGTTTACTGGGAATATGAAATGAACAATGCGGAGTTGTTTCATTTACCATTCAACGGCACACATCGAATCAAACACGAATTTCATATGCCGACGGCGGATACTCCAAGCAGGGTGCGTCAAATTATCGAATTTGTCGATAGCCATCGGAAATGTGAATTGTTCTTCCTGTGTCAATCGGCATCTCCTGTCATTGTGTATAAGATCATTGCCAATTCCAGTGACAACAAAATTCGAATTGCGCAGTCGGCCCAAATGAATAGTATTTGGAGTAACAGCCTGAATTTTTCCCAACAAGTGTCGTTTGAAAACACAGGTAAAGCTGCAGCAATAATTAGCCTTTCTCGGCTTGTTTCATCGGATGATCCAAGGAAGCTTGTCTCAGCTCGTTGTCACATGAACCCTGAACGTTTGTTCCTTCCAGCTAAGAAAGAAGCTACTGTAGATCTGATCTACCATGCTGTCGATTTCCGACCCTTCAAAGCCGATTTTGAACTTAGCACCAATGATCTGGAGAAGCCTTTAATAAAGGTTCCATTTCAACTCCAATTTCAAAAGCCAACGATGGATAATAATTCTAAAGCATTGATCGATATTGGTGTTTTACAAGTAGGAACCATCACGAAGAGTTCGGTCATGAGGGTGAGAAATGATGGTGACGATCAAATGCGCTTGTCTCTTTCCCCCATACACTCCAAACACAACAGCATCAAACAGATCAATCTAACAGCGTCAAACAATAGCCCATTAACCAACCAGTTGATTCCTATCAGCTCTAATGTTGTGCATGACTTCAATTTGATTGTTGAATGTGGACAGATTCCTGACGTACATGATGTCGAGATCATTCGTTTAGCTGAGTTCGAATTGCTCAGCAAAAGTGATCCGGTGATTGATCTTCAAAGTAAATTAGCAGAACGTTCGATGAAGATGATCGTCGTCGGGCACGTTCGTACGCCATCGTCCAACTATGATTTACCGGCAAAATTAGAGCACAAAGATTGGTCATCACTTGAATTACTACCATCGGCCTGGTTGTATCGAATCTCCACGAATCATGATGAACACAAGACGTATCATTCATTGATCACTCTGACTGCTATCGCCTATGTCTGTGGCTTTCCTACAAAAAAAGATGCATTACCAGAAACGAGCGAACAATGGTCGACATTCGCTGAAAAACTGGAACTTAAACTCCCAGAGTTCGAACGTGACAAGCTTCTAGAGAAATTTCGATCATCGTGCAGCAATTATCTGTCGTACTTTCATTATTCCAGTTTATTTTATCAATCATTTGCTCAGTTCGAAACACCTCGTCTTCAATTGTATGCTGCGATCAATTCTGCCCATACTGTGGAAACAGCTTACGCGATGGAACTCTATACATCATTGTTTTGGAATGAGTATGAAAGATGTGAACCACATAAAGCAGCTGAAAAAGCGATTGATTTTATTCATGGATGTCTTGCTAATGACGAAGCGATGAATGATACGATACGGAGTTTCAGTAAATTTCTCCATCGGGCAGTTCATAGCTGCTCTGAATCAGACGTTGCCCACCATCTGAATGCAATGCTTCAATCTTCCGGTGAACTGACAGAGATTCTGAATATAGTGGCTGATCGATCAACTTTACATATGAATCTTATTTTTCGATTGTTTTCCAAAACAAACAAAGATACTCTTAGTGGTTTGCTTCATACTGATTACAATGTATTGTTGAATTTATTTTGTCATCGAGCAAACCAAAATCAAGAAGCTTCTCTTCCTGGGTGCCTTTTACAGGCTGTGAAAAACGCATCAGATCGATGGAGTAGCATTGATCGGCAAAGAAAAGTAGATTATCTGATGCCTCTTTTACCTAATGAGAAATTGTTTTTCAACTTAATCATGAAGCGATCACAAAAAGAACCAGCTAACTTAGATTCCCTTTTGTTGGCCACTGAAGCCATTCTCTCAATATTAGATCCTTCAATGAGTGTTCAAAAAATTCAGATTATTTTCCGAGAGCATAAATCACAGCAGATTGAAGATGAATTGCAGAAGATAGAGCATTTGGACCGCACACACATTTCAATAATAGCCGGCCATATCCAACAATTCCAAAAGTCTTCCCAACAATACTACTCAAGTTCGTTCTTGAGCGAAAAGGTCAACGTTCATGATTATTTAACTATTCTTCGTCCATTGATTCGTCTGAAACAAGATTCTTGGGATGTTTTCAGTTCTGCAATTTCAATTTTTTGGGATATTTTATGTTTGGCACAAGATCCGAATACATCACTTCAAACAATTATCTATAACATTTTACGACTAATGACTCAACTTGCTTCGGATAAGAACTGGTCACAGATTGGCAATGCTTATAAAAAAGCTGCGTTAAAACCTAGCTGGTCGATTTTACTGAACTTGGTCAAAACAATTGATTTTGAGAAAGACATTGTTGCGCTCATCGAAAAAATTGGTGTAGAAACAGATGAAAAAAATCTCGCAGAAACAATTTTAGAATTCGGTTTTAAGATATCTACTGTAGAAGAATCAAGAAAAATCAATGAAAAGGAGGTGTTGATTCCGCAACAACTTTCGACAGACTGCTCGATCAGCGATCTCCTTCAACAAATAAAAGATAGCATTCCAACAGTAAACAACTCTATTGATGCCTATTGTGCATTATCATGTTTACACAAAATTGGTACGATGGATCAAAAGGAGACTTACGATCGGTTGGATAGCATTGTTAGAAGTTGGTTAACATTATTCAATACTAGCGACCAAAACTTACTTGACATATTCAACGTGATTTCCTCCATCGTCATTTCTTTTTATGGTCTTATGATGAACCGAGGTATAGCTTTGAGTCAAGCTTTGTATACAACAAATATGTCTGCTGCATTGTGCCGTTTGGCTTACTATCGACAACTGACACGACAGAACTTTCATCAAATATCAATGAATACGCCGACTGATTCTAGCCCTTCTTTGATCACACTGATTCGTCAGAGACGAATCATCGATTCAGTTCCACATGAACAATCGCTTCCAGAATCAACTCAAACAACCAAAGACTTGACGAACACGAGTGATTATACGAGCGGTAGCACTTCTATGTTCACATCGTTTGATCAGCGAACTCATTCGAAGGAGATTCTCAACGACCTGACGCAATCAGTGCAACGCTTCATTGAGGTAAAAGTCGCATCGACAATAGAGATTACCGAATCGGATACGATTCATCTTGTGATTGATGATGCATTGAATTTACAATCGAAAGTTGAACACTGGTACAATGCTTTTATTACTTTTCATATTCTTGCGCAATATCAAACAGCAGCAAATAGTCAAGAACAAATCAGAAACGGACAACTCATTATACAGAATGGTCTTTATTTACTGCAAAATCTTCTGATTATCAAAAAGAGCATCGAACCTACATTCGGTAATATTCGTTTTGTGCAACGCACGTTAACTCGACTTCACAAATCGTTCCGTTCTATACGAATGGATCAGTTTCCAGAGTTACGACAGGTTTTGGAACTATGTCAAGTGAATATTCATCGGGTGCAAGATGATTTTCCATTACCCTCACGTTCAGCAGCACCCAAAGGTACAATGAGCAGTGAAACAAGACTCAGTCTTCTGAAAAAGCTCGGTTTGACAACAGATTCAACACCATTAAGTGAAGAGAAAGGACTTCCTTCAATTTCAAATAATATTAATCAACTGCCATCGATGAATGATCGGAACACAATCAATCAATCCAACAATCAAAAGCAAGCCAAACAAGAGACAATCAACTCTTCGCAAACTTCATCGACAGATAAAGGCGAAGATGCTAGAAAAAGAGCAAACCTTGAAAAACAAGTTCAAAACGTAACACAAGAAATGTTCCCATCGGCAAACCCCTATGAAACTGGTTCAAACTCTCAACCAACCGATTTTCATACAGAGATGGATATGATGATGCAAATGAAACTCATGCAAGAACATCTACGTCAACAGCCAAATCTGCTCGATCTCTACAAAAACATCAGCAATCAAAATGCATCAACTGCCCGTCCAGGCAAACTAGATAGACGACCGGCATTAGAGCATTTCGGAAATCAAGGTCGATGGACTTACGAGAAGCTCCTTGAAATACCGGCTATTGCTACCATGATCGATCTTCTCGTGAAAAACTTTCGTTCAAATTGGGCAACATTAATGGACAACAAACAGTTCGGCATGCAACGTCAAATTTATTGGTGTATCCTCGTTGATAACTCCGGTTCGATGAGTACACATCGAAATGCTATCTATGAAACACTTGTTGTAGTGATGGAATCATTACGCAAACTAGAAAGCACCTTTGCAGTAGCACGTTTCGGTGGTCGCAAAAATCAAAGAATTCTCAAAAATCTCGAAGATGTATTCAATGTTCGAGATGGTCAATATGTTCTGGAAGCATTGACGTTTGATGAAGGAACATATCCTGCTACTGGTCTTGCCAATGTGGCTGAGACTATTTTCCCAAAAAAAGAAAAAGAATCTTCAAACAAGAATGGAATTCTTCGTTTCGTTCTAATGATTACAGATGGACTCACAACGGAAGGAAATGATGAAAGTTATCACCAGACACTCGACGACAATGGAATTCATTTGGGTTTTCTCTTCATCGAAACAAAAACACAAAGCACAAGTCAAATTTTACTTCGGGGTTTGAAAGAAACACCGAATTGTATTGTCAAAGCAGAGGATATCGATCAACTCCCAACGGAAATCTCCACTCTGATGGATAAGATGGTTCAAAAATTTTTTAAAGAACAATCATCAACATCAGGAGAAACGACTTGGCCCACCATTGACAGTAAAGTACCGAGTGCAAGTAATCTATCTTTGGATCCAGAATTCACCGTTCTTAATTGTAAATATGAAGCCAATAATTCTATATCTTACGTGATCAATAGTCCAACAGCATCAATTCCACGACTTGATCAGGTGAGTCCATGTAACTGAATGTTGTATTGTGATCGCATCAAGATTTTTCTTTTCTTTTTCTAGATTCAAACTCTATTGAGTCCTTACTTATCAAGATCGAGCGAATACACGAACGTGACTTCTCATGCAATTGATAATCTTCGTAAGTATTATCAAACATTGAAATTAGATTCGACTATGCAAGCGATGGAAAAGATTTGGATTCAAACTGAATCAACGTTGACTGGTTTGATCGATGATGTATCCAATGTTCTCGGTGAAGTGGTTTTTCCGTTCAACAAATTTACTCGATATAAAGCGGCGTCACGTGGCTCGTCCATCAATCTGCCTGGTGTTATCAAATACATAACAACTGATGGAAATTATAAGAAGATTTTCAGTGCTAAACTAGCCGGTGGGAAACGCGATCACGCAGTGTGTTTTGTTTTGGATATTTCCATTTCAATGTTTGGTTCGCTGAGTTTTGGTTTATTTGAAGCAATGGTCGTTCTGATGGGTGCTCTACACAAATTAGAAATGACGAATATCGGTATTGTCGTGTTTGGAAAGGAAGTATGTTTAGTGAAGACGAACGAACAAACTTGGAGAAATGCAAGTATTTTTACACTGATGCAACAACTTCGTTTCAATATTGAAAATGACACACGAGATGCTGATGCGCTCGAAGTTGCCATTGATCTACTCAATCAATCGACGACACGAGGTGAAAAGAAGATATTTATCATTACTGATGGTTATGGCAATTGTGGCAATCGATTGGCCCTTGTTCAACAACGTGCTGAAAGGGACGGCATCGATCTAGTAGCAATGGCTTTCGGCATTGATCAATCCAATCTAAACTCTGTGTACAAACGATATTTACATTGTACTACCGTTAAAGGATTGCCCAGAGCTTTGCGATCATTATTTGAACAAGAGCACCAAATACTGGCCATTGAATGGCCACCGAAACCAATCGAAAATAAACGTACTACAACAGAAGAAGAGAAAAAAAGTCTTTTTGAAAATCTTGAAGCGAAGAAGATTTTCGATCAGATGGTCAAAGAACTAGCCAGTGAACGTCAAATAATGACATTGAACAGTGGAACTCCACCGACAAATCTTACCGTGGATATTTGTTTCTGTCTCGATTGCACTAGTAGTATGTCACGATGGCTTGAAGCAACGAAGAACCAGATGATATCAATCATTGACAGTATTCACAAGTTGATTCAGAAAGATTATCCATCACTCAAACTCCGATTACGCTTCGCTATTGTCGCCTATCGAGATCTAAATGATAGGCCAACATTTATACCATGTAACTTTACTGAACATACAGCAGACATTATCAAGTTTCTTAATGAATTAAAAGCTACTGGAGGTGATGACATCCCTGAGGATGTCCTTGGGGCATTGGATCAATGTTTGAAATTGAACTGGAGTGAAACGAATGCCCGGTTTATCATTCTCATTACTGACGCACCAGGTCATGGACCAGAACTTAATGATAATCCTGACATTGACCAATGTAAAGAGGTAAGTTAATGATACTCTTTCTTTTTGAAAACAAATCCATGTTATTTATGCTTTATGATTGTTCTAGGGCAATCGAACTCATTCACTTCAAAGTATCTGTGATCGATTGTTGACGAAAGAAAAAGCGTATGATTTGATGTTCTGTCGTATTAAACCCAAAGCAACAGAGAAAATGGAGAAAGCATTTGCTGCAGCTTATGCTGCGAAGAAGGATGAAGTAGACAAAACCTTCAAAACAGTTGATTTATTTGATGATCCTAAACAAGCTGAAATTCAACGTTGTCATTTTATTTTTGTGCTCGATGAATCGGGTTCGATGCGCTCTCACTGGAGATCATTAGAGCAAGCCTATCAAACCTTTCTGGCTCGTCGGCGCAATGATCAGGGTGGTGACGACTTTATCACTATTATTCAATTCGAGTCTGCAGCACGAATCACATGTGATCATCAATGTCTGAACAGTAATCCATCATTATCGCCAATGAAAGGTGGAGAAACAAATTATTGCTCAGCTCTGGCTGAGGCGGCAAACGCTGTTTCGAACGATCGTACGGCATCATCGATTATGTTGGTTTTTATGTCCGATGGTGGTGATGGTAGCGGAGGAAATCCTGTACAAATCATCAAACAACTGAAAGAGAACTCGCAGGCACAAAAGCATATTTTCGTATGTCATACTATTGGTTTCGGTTCTGGTGTGAGTAAAGGAAGCAATGAGGAGAAACTTTTGAAAGAAATGGCCCTGGCAGGTGAAGGTAGCATGTATTCTGCACAGAACGCTGGTGAATTGAAGGATGTCTTCGGCACGATTGCAGCGAAAAGCACAGCCAGTGATGCATTAATCAAACGATTCTCGGACATTTTAGCTGAAAATATCAGCTTGAAAATTACAACTGACTTCTTCTAAAGTGATATTGATTTGAAATTTCCTAAGACAATAAAATCAAAGATTATACGTAGAAAATAAGCATATGTTTAGTTTTCTTTTTTCCCTGGTACATGAGGTGAGTTAGGTGTGCGTGTGGGTGTGTGCGTGTGGATGTGGGTGTGGGTGTGGGTGTGTGGGTGTGGGTGTGGGTGTGGGTGT